TTTCAAGCAACTTCGCCTGGCCAAGCAGCTTCACAAGGCCTATCTACAAACGCACTTGGCAAAAGACGCTTAAGCAGTATAGCCAAGGATACAGGAGGTGACCAGGAAGATGATAGTGAAGTGACATGCCTGCCAGAGATACAGCACCGAGTATCTGGTAGAGTTCGCAAGCGTTCAAGGTTGCTTGATGGATATGAAATATTGGATATATAGTTAATTCGTTCAATTCATCTATTCAGTTCATCTCTTCAATCTATCTGTTTAATGCATTCAAAGTGATCAAAGGTAGCAAAGTAAGCCTAGAACTGCTGTAAGTGAGATACTCAAAAATACAGCTAAAACCTACATAATTTGTGCACCGCGCGACATGCTGGTGTTTGCATTGTTTTACGACCCTGAGGGTCGGGTCGTGGCCCTGAGAGTCGGGGGGCACTTTCAACGACCCTCCCCTCATGGAGGGTCAGGGTCGGGACTCACTACCCAGGACCCTCCGAGGTCCGGGTCGTGGTCCGGGTCGTCAGGGTGACCCGCGGGTCGTGGCGAGGTCTAATTCCTATAGATTGTTGAATTTGCAATTAAATCGCTTAACGGTGACACTCTACACCTAATCATCCTGGTTCTAGGTCACTGTTTTGTTGAAGAGAATTGAAACGTTTCGACAACGCTAAAATAATGTTCTGGCCTTTGTGGCCGACAGTCACGCTCGATTGTACTCGTGGTTGGCCTATTCCACTAAGAAGTAACACCCTTAGTCCCCGCTAGTAGCAAATATGTCGAATTTCACCGCCTTCTGTGGTGAAACGCCTCCGCAATTGTTAGGCATAAAGACAACGTTTCCTTGGCTTAGCAAAGCTTCGCGATCAAACTTTCAACGCGCTTAAAGTATAAATAAGACTTGGTTTCTCTATAGAAGTTCCACCACTCCTAACAAATTCTATTTTCCCTTCCAAACTTCGTTGAAATCCTAAGAACTATGGACTTACCACTTCCGGATCATCGAAATTCGGAGCATCGGCCTCGCAAATATACTGCCTAACTTGTGAAAATGCTAGAAGAACAAAATCTTCGCAATCGGACCGGAAATAAGCGCTAAACTAAATCCACCGCCTCAATACAGATAGAACGTGATAGAGTACTAGCTGGCATAGGAAATCAACATAGGAGCAGGCGCCGCAGCGGGGATTTAATCAAACATAGTCAAGAATCAGTGACAGTCGATAATTCATCGTCCGGGCTATATAGGCGCGTATATTCGACGAAGCAGTAAGCAAACACCTCTACTATCATACGCCACCTTGACTTCTAATCTTCTAACAAAGTAATTTCAGATCTGCCGGGCGAATGAAGTTAGTACACACTCCTTGTATGCTGTCTATCCTGCCTTATTTATGTTTATTTGAATTTTTTACAACCTAATTTTAAAAACAAGAGATATACTAATAGACGGATACAGGGTAAGAAAGAGCAAGGACATTAGGCGTTCAATAACCCTAAAAAGTCTTGCTACTGACTTCGAAGTTCTTAAGCGTAAGATATAAGATCTCAAGAAGATGCTTGTCTCTTCCCAATCCCTACCGAACGAACGATATCAGAAAAAGCGCGTCTCTTTCTAAGACAATGTTAGCTGAATAACTTACAAATGGCGAGAGAGGCTTCAAAACGCTTTTTCTTCCTATTACATCCAAGCATCGCGCGGGGGGGGTCGATATAAGCTTCGAGCTCTAAGGATCAAAACCAGGGATGATATATAGACCGGCCACTATCCAATGCTGCGGCATTATCACAACCAAGTATGCAACGAGATCAGATTGTTAGAATAGCTAGACTTCATTGCTTCTACGCCATTGTCTAGTACCCGCGCTGCTAGAATGCCAATCAATTGCTGGTTTGCTATGTGTTTTCCTATGCTTGCCTACAGCCTACTAATGCTGCTTTATTATGATTTTTGCAATGTCGCGGCATAGACACTATGAACGTACTCTTAAGCCTAGGCTAAAGATTGTCTTTCTTTTAGGGACAATAATCAAAAGTCTTGGACCTATTAAAAAGCATATAATAGGAAACCGAGCGTAGTTTCCAGGACAACTATGTGAACTGTTGCAAACAAGGCTCACGAGCTAGGTTCTCGTGATCGCCACTCTTCGCAAGACTATAACACTCCTATCACCCCGATAAGACCTTAGAGAAGAATAGTATTAGACGGACCAATCGAACACCAACGTGCGAAATAGATAGGCGTAGGTATGGTTCTGCGATATAGATCCTAGCGACGACCCGCGGGACAGTACATTACGGAGGTTCTATTCGTGGCCTAGAGAAGAAATTGGAAGGACTACAAAGATCCGGACACGACCCACAAGCCACACCTAACGGCCGTTAGTGCCCGATAGAACACGGCTTTGTTGCTTAGGAGGTACGGTTAAGGTACGGTCGACGTAGGTGAAGTATTTAGAATATCACGCGGATTCCTAGCAACAGAATAGTAGGCTAAATCCCGATCCGTGGTTATGTCCTCCTATCAAGTGGCAAGCTGCTCTTTGTCTATCGGGTGTGTAGAACGTTCTAGAAGCTGTCTTCTGTCCTACATAAACCTTCCCCGTAAAGAGTATTCGTTAAGATTGTACAGTACTTATTTTGGGCCCGACACATCCTCTCTATCTGCCTAATCGATTGCCCGTCTGATATCTCTAGATAGCTTGTAGAAACTATGCTAATTATGGACAGGCCACTTAAGCTTACGTAAAATGTCTCCGGTTTTTGCACTTAAAGCCGAGAGACCGATTGGCTCCCGGGCATGAGTCGACGTTATGGGCCGGCCCTTATACGGCCCCTAAACTTTATTTCAATCACCTACGCATCTTGATCAAGACTCTAGCGATAGAGAATCTTTCTAGTATAGTATTGGTCTTTTCCAATATCCTATACATAAATAGATGGAGACTGTCGTGGTTCTGTGTCAATTCGTTAGACTTCCCTTTAGGCGGTAAGGCTTAATCACGAGCAACCTAGAGAGCAAGTGGGGAAGCAGCCCGGGCTTGAATCCTTCATGGCAACCGCATTCGCTCACCGAGCGGGCGGTTCTATAATTCATCTAAATAAGTCCTCGAATTGATTTGCGGTTCCTACTGATCGACGGTCCCGCTCGTGATTCCACGGTCTGTGTCAAACTTATTTCCTCGCGACTTAGGTGTGGGTCGAAAACAATCGTACGCTTCACTCTACAGATCACTCTGCTTTCGACCACCGATCCAACCAAATCCAATCAGACGTATTTTCTTGAACTGACAATAATCCAGATATCCTCAGCTTCCCAGAGCCCCCTTGCTATCATGTCCTAACTCCCTACGGGAACACTCATAGTACAGTGAATCCTTATACACTGTCCGCAGTATTTTGCAGAGAGCTTTCCACGACAGCTCCTGATGGGCATCCAACCAAGGGAGAAGATTTTTCTCCTCCCATTCTGGCCAGCCGCATGCGCTACGTGGGAGATGGTGATGCTCGTACAAGTGGTAAAAGTGGTAAGAACGGGTGAAGAACACAGACAAAAGTGGACTCGAAGATGTAGGTAGGTTTTTTGAGTAGAAAATATCATAGTGTTACACGTAAAAACTGACTATTGTGTGTTTATGAGCCATAGCTCAGCCTGGTGAGCTAGTATCAAACTTTCACGGCTCGCACCAGTTCAAGGTTCAGAGAATAAGCTGGAAACTACAAATACATACTTGAATCGTCCAGTGCAAACAAGGAGACCCGGACTAGTAATAATTATCGAGGTCGCTGAAAATTTCGAGCACATAAAGCAGGACTGACGTAGCCATAATCAAAGACGGTTGCTCGCAATTTCGCGAAAAGTATGTGTGGAACTACATTGGCTGGAGATTCATACTAATGGCTGGATGACTATCCACCGAACTGAAATAGATCAGCGGTATACGATCTGGTTCGAGCTGCTCAGTCTCAGGGAGTCACCCGACGAAGGTACAAGGAGCTAATATTCCTCTGATGTCATTCTCAGGCTTGCTATTGGACAGTTATTTGGACCAACCTCCATCGCCTATGAAGCATATGAGAGTCGTTCCCCGGGTCTAGATCACGATAATTGGTGCTTTTATGACTTCTTTCGTCTACGCAAATAACTGCATATAGATGGCTCACCATTTCCTTTCCCTTTTGGTTCGTACCACGATGACTGGTTGAACCTTGACCGCACGGGATCGATCCATGGAACGCGGGGGGGACTATAAAACACGCCGGAGTAGGGAACAGCTGTCACGTTCATTGATTCTCCAGAAATATGGCCTGTTCTTCAGGGTATCTAGGTCACCCGAAACAATGGCCAATCTTCCTTGACGACTTGACGTCGCTCTGACTGCACAAATTCACCATGCTAATAAACCAAACGTTGCGCCAAGCATATATTAACCATTACGGGTGTAGTTACCTAGAGCGAAATGCGGCCATAGTGCAGAATCTATCGGGCAAACGTACCATTTATAATCGCCTCATCCCTACTTTTCTTTTTGGGCTGCAGTTGTCTGGGAATATATGTATCAATCGGCACGAGAAGCCAGTAAGCTACTCACTATAAATATTCTTAACCTTATTTTGGTACTGAGATGTAGTGAATCTGCACGCAAATAATTTGACGTCATTTTTCCTTTTTCCAGCTGGAGCTTGTGGTAGTTACAGCACGGGAAGCCATACTTGGAACCGACTGAGAAGTGGGGCATCCTGTCAATGGAAGAAATTGCCGCGAATGATATGAACGCTACCGCTGGAGTGGGGCAGCCGAGAACAGCAAACTTATGAGACAGACACGTCAGTTTTCCGACGTCTCAAGCTACTGTAGCTGGATACGATATATTCTTTCTTTTTCCTTCCTACGATGAACGCGCTTCACACTCAATGTACCGCAACAACCAAGAAAAAAAGATCTAAATCTGCTCGTTGCTACCTCAGATCTGTCTACTTTTTCTACTTTTCATGAAGGATTCACTATGCCCAAAGCTATTAGCGAGATTCCATCTTCGGGCCAGGATATGGCCCGGTTTACAAAGCAGACGATCCTTGGTGCAACATTTGAAGCCACAGAGAGGTTAGCCTTAAACTCCCGGTGTGCTTGCAGTCTTTACCACATCCTAAGGCCTGGGTGTGAACTAGGTATACACAATTAGTTCCCATTGAATTTGGAACTTCGGGACTCAGCTGGTATGGTACCTTTGAATCATCAAAAAAACCACCATAAAACCATGGTTGTGGGTTAATCATCTGTTGTTAGTACAGTGCTGCACGAGACCAGATCTGCAACCAAAATGTTGCAGTAAAAAAGCTGACGGGTGTCTTCAAAACGGAAGCTACAGCCAAACGCATGTTTGGGGAGATTAAGCTTTTGAAACAACTTCGACATGAGAATGTTGGCGGACCGAAACGAGCCAAATGTGTTTGCGAGGCTAACCAAAACACAGATCACCAATTTACTGGACATATTCATGGCCCCATCCGAAGATATGTATGTATTGCCGGCTCCGCATATCAAAGGTCGATATTGATATTGATCGACGAAGCTACCTTGTAACCGATCTCATGTCCACGGACCTCCATACCCTTCTCAAGTCAATGAAGCTCGAGGGCCAGTTTGTTCAGTTCTTTACATACCAAATCATGGTGAGACCACCTGAGGTCTTTTACGAACCTCTGATGCTTACTATATGTTAGCGTGGTCTAAAATACGTTCATTCGGTGGGCGTGGTCCATCGGGACTTGAAACCAAGTAGTATCTTAGTTAATGAGAACTGCGATCTCAAGATCTGTGACTTTGGACTCACCAAAGAAACTCAGGTGACTGACTACGCCTCAACTGGATACTATAGGGCTCCAGAAACCATGTTGCCTTGGCGAGAGTACACTGAAAAGGCTGATGTTTGGAGTGCAGGTTGTATCTTTGCTGAAATGATTACGGGAAACACTCTGTTCCCTGGGAAGAATCATATCGATCAGATTCGCGTAATTGCCCAGTGGCTTGGAAACCCACCCAAAGACTTTCCCGCCAATGTCATCAATCAGAAGGTCAGCTCTACCACAATTCATTTCCACCGAAATAGCTCCAGACTTACTGGCTCGGAGCCGTATCACAGACACTGAATTTCATCCATTCTCTTCCCAAACGAGAACCCAATCCATTATCTAACTTCATTCCTGGGGCCGAAGCAAACGGTATGTTGTATCTTTGTCTAGTCAATGTATCTGGATAATGATTCAATTTAGCCACTGCGTTACTAGGGGAAATGCTCCAGATTGATCCGCGTAAGCGGGTCTCTGCAGCTAATGCACTCACTTCCCAATACTTCGCTCCATATCAGGATGTCGCAGACGAGTCAACGGCAACAAAGGTGTTTGATTGGACATTTCTTGAAGCCAATCTGCCGGTGGATATCTGGAAGACAGTTTTGTAAGTCTTCTGAAATTCATGGTATTGAAATGAATAGTCTATCTAACAAATCTAGGTACGCCGAGGTTTTTGGATACCATGCAAGCCACACACAAGGGGGATCTGAAGATTGAACAACTCGGTTGGATAATACCATTTCGTGTGATCTGTGATGGATGATCTTTTTTTCGCATTCTGGTTTATGAATTTATGAATCTGTAGTTTCCGATTCTGTGGCACCTTATAAGGACCAAAAGCCTCACCGCAGGTATGGTATTGCCTCATGGAGGGACGTGAGCTTCAACGGCACATCGAAGCAGAATTGTACCAAGCCGTATTCCTTGTCGTCTCCATAACCTGAGCATTGGGGCGAGGTTAACTCAATGCGGTAAACAGTATTCCCTTTCAACATCATTCCTTGAAAAACTCAAGCCTGGATTGAGGTTTCCATGATGGAACATAAGCTGCAGCGATATTTGTGGTGCATCACTCCTAGAAGGCCGAGCTATAGCCCTAGGAACCTCACTTATAATTCCACGAGTTGATAAAGCTGTCAACAGGAACATGACATTGGCTCCCGAGGTGGCGGGAAAAGGCCTAGAAGCTGCGTCGGGATTTCGGGGGGCTATATGACTCCTTAAGGCGGCTTAAGTGTTCTTAGAAGCCGTAACAAATCCACTGGGAGCAAGAGGACTCCTAAAGTCAAGATAACGAAGGTATATTAGATTTACTAATCAAGTTATGGAAATCCCGTCTTCCACAGCCTGACACCGCTTTGATTCTAGAAATCTTTTATTCGGAGAATAGCGCGCACATAGATAGGTAAGAAGACGGTACTCCTATTGTCTAAACTAGCGAATAGTACCGAGCATTTAAGAGCATTAGCCTTGATTAAAGTGGAGAAATAGCTACTAGCATAGCCTATTTCACTAATAGGTTATTCTTTAAACGCTATCCCTTGTCCGCTTTCTTTTGATCACTTTATAACGAGGCCTACCTTAAGAAGTGCTTTTGTGTAAAGGCGAAGGAAGTGAGGGGCTTTGACTTATCTCTCGAGCCGGTCGTATAGAGCTAGGCTAACCACGGATAAAGAAATCGTGATAGTAGGCCCCCCTAGTTTTGTGAAAGCTATAGTAATAAAGCCGCCGAATAAGAGATTAGTTGTAACGGGCCAGGGCCCGTATACATCACGTGCTGACCACGTGACTAGGCATGTTTACACCGCTGCACGGCCACGTAGATCTTCCTTTCCTTAAGCTTTTGATAGACAGCATGACGGCTTAGCTAGTTTGAATCAAGACTTGCTTCGACCCTTCACAATAGCATCGACAAAGCACCTAAGAACAGTTGGCATTATTGCTCCCCGGGAATGGAATACATCCATTTCCAGGTTTATTGCAACGGTGATCCTATTGTGCCAGTTAGCATTCTGTATCTCCATTCTGTATAACTTCCGAACGAAGTCATCGCCCGAGTCTTTTCCCTTCCGCCGTCGGGCGCAGAGAGGTCATGACACATACATCTTTGCAATCGTATGATCCGTGGTCATCTCCATTTCCAACGCACCTTCCCGGACCCATTGTTACACAGGTATAGTCCTATTAAATCGGGGTATGTTAGCTAGTACTTTGATTACAAGAAGTATACTGACTGAAGGTTCCGCATCAACAGCCCCAGAACAAGGCGTTGGCGTTGGTTGAGCAACCTCGCAGTTCTATTAATATTAATTTGTTAGCCATTATTTCTGTAGGGAGACTATAGAAAATGAAGATAAGTTAGGGTTGTATACCCAATAGCCGAAGGCGGCGGAGAAAACAGAGAAGAATGCAACCGAAGAGGTGAATCTCATTGTGGATTTTGGGACTCTTAGGATGACCAGGAGGTACAAATGTTTGTCCCTAATGAAAGGCGGATTTTTTTATCACTTTATAGGAAAATCGGATGGTCAGGAGACATTGTACCTGTGTGGAGTAATCCAGTAGCCGTGTCACAGGACCGCCCCCCACCCTCGCGGGTAGGGGGTGTCCCACAGCCATAATGCAATTAACAGCCATAATGCAAATTTTCAATTTCTTCAACTTCTAGCTCATTTTTTAGACGTATAAGGTCTAGGATCCATGAAATAAAGCCCATCAATAGCCTCAGTAGCCAATAATGTATCATCCTCCTCATTTTCAAGTGTTTCCTCCAATTCCTTAGCCGCCAAATCGGCCGCCATTTTCTCTGCGTCTTTCCGCCAAGCACGAAGCTTCGACTCATCTTCTTTCTCACACCTTCGCTGTACTAGCCTATTGCCTGAAATCGATGAAAGGGGACTCTTTGTAGCACCCTTTACCCATCGCTTGCTTTTTGTAGGTTTTTTCCCAGGCGTTTTATGGCTAAGGGCGCGCGCAAGGCTCATCTCAGCAAGTTCCGCATTGTATAGAGACGATTTTCCGGCATCAATTGCGCGCCGTATATGCTTCCGAATTTTTCGTAAATCAGGATTCGGGTTATCAAGTAGCGGGAAAACTGTCTTCTCCAATTTTTCAATACGCGCATAAGAATTGGGCGGAGAATTGGTCGCTGAACTTGGGAATTCGCGGGTAGGTGACGGCTCGTCGTATATGCGTAAGGTCTCTTCGTCCGAATATTGCCCTAAATTACCCAAAACTTGTGTCGGATCTAGTGGCCAGATACCAGTAGATTTGAACGAGGTTTGGATAGTTTTGGACCTTAAGGCGTGGCGTCGGACGGCGTCAATGTTGCGGAAAAAGTCGCGTTTTTCGTTACTTCCACCCCACGCCACAACCTCAGTATTCGCCATTTTAAACTTATGTTTTAGGCTTAAAAAGCCTCAGCATCAAGGGGCTGACATATATGAGTCGTGTGAGGTACAAAATACCAAGGAATAATCAGGTTTTCCTTACAAAAATCGAGAAATTCGATAGTTGTATGAGACGCATGATTATCCATTAGCAAAAGCCTCGGTCGCCCGCGTCGTACGCGGTTTTTTGTGGCTTCATGAAATGAGCATAGCCATCGGTAAGCAGTCTCACTATCCGTCCAGCCACTAGACGTCAAATGGATAATTTTGTACGCCGAAGAAGAGGTTGACATATTACTATACCAGTCTTCCATGTGGACGCTGCCTTTGACTAGAAACCACGGAAACATCACCCAGCCATCAGCGGCAATACATTCAATGCCAGTAATAGTTTCACCTCGATCTCCAGTAGCAATACTAGCAGTTTGACGCGTAGAGACGACGTGTTGGTTAAGTCCTTCGCCATTTTGGAAGCCGGTTTCATCCCAATTATAGATCTCATGAGGTTCAAAACCATGCTCACGGTAGAGATACTCAAGCCTATCGTACCAATGGCTAATAACTCCAGGATCCTCGGCTTGAATTCGTAAAGACTCCTTTGATTTTTGGGTAATAAGCTTGATGTGTGGAGGTAGACGCCGTATAAGCCGATAGCTATACATTGAACTAACAACTCTCTCCGAACCCGCTATTTTCAACAGGCGATTTGCGGCAATTTCAATGTCTTTTGCAGTTGGAGGTGTATAGCAAGAATTTAGCACTTCGATCCAGCTAATTAATGCATTTTCCTGATTCAAATTCAATGCATTATTGGTGGTAGGGCGATCGGAGAGAGATGTCTGTCCGTTTTTGCGACCGCGAAGCTTCGAATAAGACACGCGATAATGGTCCGCAGCCTTACGTAGTGATGAAAATTCTCGCGTAGTATAAGCATGTAATGCCTTAGCTAGCAGATCCTCTTCATCACGAGTTTTTTTAGGCATTTTAGGTGGGTAGGAATACGCGTAAAAGTTGAAAAGGTAGGAAATTTGCATTATGGAGGTTAATTGCATTATGGCTGTGGGACACCCCTACCCGAAGGGTGGGGGGTCGTCCCGTGACACGGCTACTTGATGAGTAACCCTGTCCTTAGTGGTAAAATACCACCCCCTCAGTTCGACAGAATCCTTCCAACGGGATTCCCCCCTGCAATCTCCGAAGAAACTGCTGACCAAGCAGCTGTTAAAGGCTTAGCGCCACATGGGTGGACACATTTGAACCTATGTCAAAAACGGCCAAGCTCAGAAAGACCCTCCAACAAATGAGCTCTCGACATTCGAATCATCCTTGTTTCTTCGGCACAAAAATACTTTGGCATGCCTCCTTTTCTCGGCCTCGAGCCCTGCATCATTTATCCTCTACCAACCCTGTGGAGCCGCAGTCTGCCACGCCGTTGGCCCCGGACAACTTCCTGGTGGCACGGGACCAACGCTAATCCTGGTGCTCTGTAGCTGGATATCTGGTGTGACAGATCGCTACGTTTATGATGCTTGATAGGAGCCCACTTGGGTGTTGGCGTTCTCGCGGGAGTTGTGGGAGGGCTAGGCTTGGCTCTATGTCCACTTTGAACGTGGCACGATCTGGGTTGGAGAATGGGTGATGTTATTGTCTCCAGGAGACGGGGGGATGTGTCGTCTCGAATGGACTCCATGGCTTTAGCAAAGTGAACAGCGTGAACTGAATGAAGGGACTGTTGCAGGCTTGCTCCGCAGAGATTTGTGGGCCGCCGTTGTCGGTGGTCTGCCTGAACTTCGGTTGAGGTGCGAGCTTAAACGTTTCCTGCCCCTTTAAACTCGCTGTCGTCACAGCTACTGCTTGGTGCTGCTTTTCAGTCCTACTGCAGGCTTTTCTACAAAATTGGGTATTCTAATTGCTCCCTCGAGTCATCACGACAGGCTACAAGTTACATATAGACTTGGACGACAATGGCTGTTAACAACACCCCCATCTATGTCTTTGTGCCGGGTGCATGGCACACACCCGATACCTTCGATGGCATCCGTGCTATCTTGATCACACGTGGATATGACTCCGAAGCTGTTGCGCTCCCTTCTGTCGGCGCGGCCGAACCCACCAAATCCGGCCTCCACGCTGATATCGCCCATACCAACGGTGTCCTCCGGGCATTGGCAGAGCACGGCCGTCAGATTATCGTAGTCGCGCACTCGTATGGTGGCATAGTGGGCGCAGGCGCCGTCGAGGGGCTCGGATACGCTCAACGGTCCAAGGCCGGTCAGCCCAGTGGCGTGATTATGGTGGTTTGGCTGGCCGCTTTCGTGACGCCCAAGG